GTGAGAGAGTGAATCCCGATGGCCTGTCTTCGGTGCTGTCACTTGGCATAGGCGAGCAGTTTGAGAGGAGCCCACATGATGGATCTTGCGTCTTGGGAGCTAGGAAGGACCTTGAGCATTTCCAGCCTTGAAGCACAGGGGAATGTCTAGGATTTTGAGAGGGGAGAAGCGTCTGTAGCTTCCCTTGGTAATTCCCACTAATGCCTCAACAACTTTCCGCGTCGGGCCATTCTTCCGTGTGAGTTGCAGCCTGAATTCTTCGTGCTGCTTAAGCCTGTTTCTTCGTGTTGTGCCCTCAGTGGAGAGATTGAACAGCTGGTCGCAGGCCCCTGTGCGAGAGCTCCTTGCATAATCGAAAACTGTCATTAAATCACCCCTTCAGCTACTCTTTCTTGCTTGTGTTTTGTTTGGTTTGGTTTTTTCCATGGCTAAATAATCTCAGTTCTCTTAAGCTGTTCTCAGAGGTCTTTCAACCCCTTTAATTATCGCCGTGCCTTTCTGCCAAGCCTTCCCCAAGCTCTGGGTCAGCTGTAGCCTTTAGAACTGGACGCGGTTTTCTAAGAAGGATTTGAACAGCGCTGGGGGTAATGAGATCACTTCCTCATGCTATGCTTGCTGTGCCTTTAGTAATGCCTCACATACGTGGTATTTCCTTCCATTCTTTCGTTTTGCACCTACATTTGTTGCTGACTCACGGTCAGATTTTCATTTTATTTTATTTAATTATTTTATTACATTTTATTATTTTATTTATTTTATTATTTTATTTATTTTATTATTTTATTTTATTTATTTTTTTTTTTTTTATTTTTTGTCTTCCAGAATGAATGGAAGCTGTCTGCTGTATTACACTTTCTGTATCAGGCTTGAATTCTTACTCTGCAGCATGTCTTTGAATCCATCATTAAACAAACTATCATTTAAACCTAAGTCAGAAAAAAATGCATAGGTTCGGATTAAGCATCCATCAACCCGTGTTTTAAATAGGAATAAATGAGTAGTGCTTTTCCGTTTACTGCCTTTCGGTAATGGTTTGTTCCCAGCTACAAAGGGTCATTTTGATAAGGTCAGTTTCGAGATCAGTGGAGCAGGAGATTGTTATAGGACATATTATAACTGAAACTTGTAGTTCTTTTGACCAAGTCTCTCGCTGTGTCTTTGTGTATGAGATGGAGAAACGTGTGCAGTAGAGATTAGACGGTGATATAACTGGGAAGAGTCATAGTTCAGCAATCAGAGGGCTGAATCCGGGATTTGTGTTGACCTGAGGCGCAGGCTCTGGTGGTGTGGCTCACGTTTGACCTTGGCCCAAACGTTTAACATTTTCACCGGTGACTTCTTGATGAAGACAGGACACGTTTTAAAATGTGCAAAGTATGCAAAGTTGGCTGGTGGCTAATTCATGCACTGTAGGTCAGGATTTTTAGGGATACTGATGAGATTGTATGGTGGGATCAAACTGACAGGACAGTCTTTGACAGAAGTGAGAGGAAACCAATCCACATGAATAAGTACAGAATGGAAGGGTCACTGGAAACAGCCAAAAAACAGCATTTCCCATCATGCCCAATAGAGCCTTAGGACCTTTTAGTGTTCACAGGCCTTAGAAGTTTAAAGAAAAGGCCTTGGGATCGCTGAATGACAAGTGTGGGAAATTCTGAGGTCAACCAGAGTTTAACGTGTTTCTCCACCGACGACCTTCTTAGCTTTTAATATGTTAACATACATTAAGAATTTTAAGAGGTGAGTATAATATGCAGTGTTTCCTTAATTAATTTGACCTTCTTTTTATGAAGCATTTTGCTGCATGATTGGTCTGCTGGACACACTGGGAAACACTGACCCAGAGATTTTAGTTGAGTGGAAACCCTATGTGAACCTGTGGCATAGAACAAAAGCAAGTCATCCAATTATATTGTCCAGAGAAATGGAGGTACCATTCCCAGCAGATTATACTCGGAGAATGATTTTCTAAAGGACAGTGACAAATCAAGCCGTGTCATATGAGGAAGAAATAAAAGAAACAGGGATGAAGCTGAGACATGGCAGCTCTGGTAAAATGTTCCAAGGGCTGTGTAAAGGCTGAAAACTTCTGGGTTTCTGGTCGGATGGATAGTAACCATGACAGGACCAACAGCCAACACTGACATGGCCCTTGCTATGTACCACACACTGTTCCAAGTGCCTTTCACTCGTTAACTCATTTAAATAATGACAATCCTGCGAGGCAGGTGCTATTAATAGTTCCATTTCATGGCAGAAGGAAACTAAAACACAGAGAGATAAAGTTATTTTCGCGAGGTCACACAGCCCATAAGTGGCAAAGCTGAGGGCTGAACGCTCAGGGTTGGACTCCAGAGCCTCTAATCCTATTTCCTCTGCAGGTGGATTTCAGCTCAGGCTGAAGGAACACTTTTAACCGGGCTCCCTGTACACAGATGTTCAAGATCATCTATTAAGGATGTTTGCTCTTGTACATGGGTGGTATTTATATGGAGGCTAGAACACCACACTGGCATTGGTTAAGAGTTGGGCTATCTGACTGCTGGAGGTCTTGCAGCTCTGTGGTGCAATTGCAAGGGAATGAATTCACTTCTGTGGGCCCTTTCATCTTGTAAATTTTCCACAAAGTACCTCTGTGATGGCACTCTACACGGAGAAAAGTGCTCAACAAAAGCTTTTATCAGTAGCTTGAACTGACACCAATTGCAGCTAGGCAATTCAAGGTTAAACAGCTCATCATAATGTTGGGAAATTTGTAATCTAGGGTAATGACTGGAGGACTGCTGAAGTGGTGGGTGTTGCAATCCAAACGACCTGTTGGTCTAAACCCTACTGCCTTTCTATCTGAAATGTGAATAGAGTCTTTATTAGCAAACCACGTTCCAAGAGAAGCACCGTGGGTTTGCAGTTCAAATGCTCATTGCTTGTATGATACTAAATATCCATCATATATTCAGATTCAAATGGTCTCAGAATAGGTAGTGCCCTTGGGTTCTTGGCATAGCAAATGAAAATCATCACTGGAGAAGGCATTTTCAGTCAAGGGCTCAGAGTATTTCCAGAAAATATTTTAAGGTCAATGTAGTACATAGGGGGGAAAAAAAAAAAGCATACAAGAAATGAAAGTGAGCTAGATGCAGCAGAAATAGGCCACAGAAGCAGATCCACAGTAATTTTATATCTTGGAATCATTAGACAGAGTCATTATTTTTTGAAAAATATGTTTACTCTGTTTAAAAGAAAAGAACAGACATTGAAAAATATCTGCAGGGAACCACAAACTTTAGAAGTGACCTTAAAAATGACCAACTAGAACTTCTAGACATTAAAAAGTACAATAACCAGAGTTTAATAAAACTTACAGTATGAGCTTACATCAGACTATATGCTGCTAAAGAGAGAAATAGAGGCTCAGGCAGAAGGGATTGTTAGCAATGAAGAACACAGGACAAAAGGGAAACCCAGGGATGTCCTATTCAGAGAAATGCAGGCGAGACTGAAAAAAGCCTACATTTATCTCACACATTTCTGTAAGCAGAGCAGAGAGGGAATGGAGAAGAGGCACTATTTGCTGAGATGATGACAGAAGATTCCAGAGCTGACTAAAGACTCGAACCCACAGGTTCCAGAAGCCCAGTTAATCCTAAAAAGTATAAATAAAACCCTAAGACACAGGACAGGACAGGAATAGGGCAGATTGCCTTCAATGGAGCAATAGTCAGCTTTACTGCTGACTTCTTCATAGTAGCAGCAGAGACAGTGAGAGCAAGGTGGAATAATATTTCAGTGCACTACAACAAAACCCCCCAAGCCTAAAAATTGATGCCCAATGAAGATAGCTGTCAAGAATATGGATTTTTAAAAAAGAGATTTTCACCTGGCCAGCATGGCTCAGCGGTTGAGCATCGACCTAGGATCCAGGCGATCGGGGTTCAATTCCCGGTCAGGGCACAGGCCCGGGTTGCGGGCTCGATCCCCAGCAGGGGACGTGCAGGAGGCAGCCGATCAATGACTCTCATCATTGATGTTTCTCTCTCTCTCTCCCCCTGTCCCTTCTTCTCTCTGAAATTAATAAATTTTTTTTTTTAAAAGAGATTTTCAGACAAAACCTGAGAAATTCACCACCCACAGACACTAAAGGAATGAAAAACAAAAAGAAAGTGGTCACTGTAAGGGTCATCCTAACAATATCAAAAAATTAAAACACAGTCTTGTGGGGTTAGAAAAATAAGATCTAATTGAAATGCACGACTATGGTAACATAAATCAAGTGATGAATTAAATATATTTCGAGCTTTCTAAAATCATTGTACTGCTTGGGAGGAATGGTGTTTATTAAGTTTAGACTTTGAAAGAGATAGAAGGGAAGAGGGGGAAATAGAGACAGATAGACAGACAAACAGCAGGTCACCATGAAAACAACGCTAGACCTGGCGGCCTGCATTCAGCATCAGCTCTGCCACCAGTTAGTTGTATGGCCTTTGAAAGGCTGCTTCTCTCATCTACGTCTGTTTTCTCGTCTGTCAAATGAAGCTTTGGGACCAGATGAATTTTAAAACTTCTTCCTTATGATTCCGTGACACATTGAGAAATAGATTCTTTGGAAAAAAAAGGAATCGATAGTTCTGAGTTGGGTTTTTCCCCTCCTTTGAAAGTTTATCAATAAACGCTTGTCTTTTACTTCTGGCTAACTCCTACATCTGTCCGAACACCGGAGCTGGATGTAGCCTGGCTCAGGTGTGTATTTTGCTTTCCGTTGGTTTGCTTTGGTTGGTTTTCTTGTCGTCTAGGAGCCAAACAGAGCAGTGGCAGCTCACCAAGGCCTTAGGGGTAGGCGGCTCGTGGGAATGCTAGGGGGCCATTTGCAGAAACCAGCTGCAAAAACTGGGCCTCTGGGCCACTATTGCTTGCTTGCTTGCTTGCTTTTAACTTACTACCTGGACTGACATGTGCCTCCTTTCCTTCCTCGCCCCCCCTTTGCCTCCCCGTCTCTGCAGGCCAACAATAAGCCCGAGATTGAAGCGGCCCTCTTCCTAGACTGGATGAGGCTGGAGCCCCAGTCCATGGTGTGGCTGCCCGTCCTGCACAGAGTGGCCGCTGCAGAAACTGCCAAGCATCAGGCCAAGTGCAACATCTGCAAGGAGTGTCCAATCATTGGATTCAGGTATTAGGAACCCCCAGATGTCTTTTTTCTTCCTTTCTCTCATGTCGTTTCTTGCCCTTTTTCTGCCTTGATATTTTACCTCCTGTACCAGTTGCCACTGGTTCCTCCTCAGAGTGGGAGAGGAGGTGATGGGGCCGGAACATCCATCGCTCCCCTGCTCACTGGGTGATTTTGGCGGAGGGGACACATTAGGCAGGTGTCCCCTTCCCCCTGCGCGCTTCAGCTCTGCAGAGGCGCAGTCTCGGGTGAACAGGACTGACCGCCTGTCGCCACCGAGACATGTGCCCGTCAACGGTACACAGATAAACCGTGCCGCCTCCTTCCTGGAACCAAAACATTTGGACCATCTGTCTCTTTTTTTTTTCTTGGTCTTTTCCATTTATAGACAGTATCCAAGAATTAGTTATAAAACTAAGAAATGATTCCATTTTTGGAGGCCCATCATGGTAGTTTAGTCTCTTACTCACTCTGTACCATTCCCCCTCCCCCCAAAGTAATGACTTGCTTCAAGCCCCCTAGCACTTCTCTATCTGTGAATCTGATTAAGCTCCTCCCATAGTACCCTAATGAACTTCTAAGGGAATATAAAGTATGCAAGTAAATGAAAGATTCACAAAGCAGCCATAAAAGGAAAATGTTCCTTATAAATTTAAAAGTAAAAGAAGAAACATAGCAGGTTATTATTCTGATATTCTTTTTTTTAATATGTTTTTTATTGATTTCAGAGAGAGGAAGGGATATGGAGAGAGAGAGTTGTGTGGTTTTTTTAAATATATTCTGATATTCTTAAAACTGTCACAGAAAACAATTGGCTCTTAAATCTTTCGCCCTATTGACCTGTTTGGAGAGACAGGCTGTTTTGAAATGAGTTCATCTTATTGAACAATCATCCCAAACCCAAATTCTGAAATGATGATGTATTTAAACATCTGGATCAACATCAAGGTTTCCTTAGCGATGAATGAGCCATAAAGTTGTAAACTAGTTATATAGTCTGTGGCTGTTCAGAATCCACTTAGCCGCTAAGTAAATACTCTTCCCGGTTATGCTTGGGCTTGTTTCAGTACTTGGTTGCCTCATAACTACGTTGTGTCATTTGTGTGCTCTGTCCTTCCATACCTCGTGCTCTTTACAAAGAGGTTTTACAAAAGCTTTAGAGGTTTCTAAAGCCCAGATAGACAACACTGAGTAGGCAGTGCTCGCAAGGGACACCGTTCCTTCCTGGCCTGGGCAGGTGGGAGTGATGCTGTGGGGGGCCGGGGGCAAGCCCCAGGGCAGGGCACTGCTTTCCTTCTTTTTGGAGCTTCCCTTGCTAGTAAGAGCCGTAGGGGGGACATTGTATAAAATCAAAAAAGGAAAATGCTTCAGAGAATCTAAGCACTTTCACAGTCACTTCTTTCGCCCTTATCAAATTAGATTATTTTAGGAATTCAGGGAAATTTTTATAAAAAAGGAAAATGCTGTGGAAGATCTAAGAGCATTTTCACATTCTCTACTTTTGCCCTTATCAGATTAGATTATTTTAGGAGTCGGCACTTCTCTTTCCTCCCCCCCTCCCCCTAAAGATCGTTGGGATCTAAAAAAAGGTATCATTTTTTTCTCACATTCCCATATGTGACCTGAGGAATATGTTTATTTGAATTGGCTAAAATTCTTACCTGAGAAAGCCAAAGGCAGAGAGAGTATGAAACAAAGAATACACTATTCAAAAGGTCCCATCTAGTACATGCAGATTATAAATTCTTTCATCTAATCCAATTTGTGTCCTTTCTTGGGGCTTCAGTTATCATTTGTGGGTAATGTGGTAAGGGATTTCTAAAGAGAGACAGATAAAAGAGATTATCCAAGTACCTCTCTGAAGATGAATCATGTGAGTCAATCAGAAAACGTAATTTTAAAAGATTTCTTTTAATGGCAAGTTCTTGTTTAATTTTCTTTTGTTTTGTGAAATTGGTTCATTTTTATATATCTTTTCGAAAATAATTGCTTCAGAAAACCTTTGTTCCTCTGATGGGTAGGGGGCCTGCAATACATGGATCTGTCTCTCCTGGAAGTTCTTTCAAATTCTAGTATTTGGTCTTCAAAAGACTGGACGTTTGCCAGTATTTTCTTACTTAATCTGAAAGAGTTCCTAGTGGAGTTTAAATAAGAGCTGAGTTTTTCTTCCCTCCTTCCATATGTTTATAGGGTAATCTTTCTGCCAAAATGTTTTGATACTGTAGGAGAAGCACTAGAAGAGTCTGGAGGTAGGAAGTTAATCACTTACCTTGTGGGCTTAATGAACACCATAGGCTGTCTCTGGAATTAAGGTAGCATGGAAGAAGGTTTATTAAAGTGTTCTTTGGGAATTTGATTTGCAGAAATACATATGTGTTTGTTTTTGTTCTTTATCAGGTACAGGAGTCTAAAGCACTTTAATTATGACATCTGCCAAAGTTGCTTTTTTTCTGGTCGAGTTGCAAAAGGCCATAAAATGCACTATCCCATGGTGGAATATTGCACTCCGGTAAGTTAGACGCCCCCCCGACGTGAGTTAATTCCCCTGGGAGAGGTTTCCATTTGGGACAGTATTGCAGATCGTGTGTAATGCTGTCATGTCCGTGTTCCCCAGATGCTTCCCCAGATGTTACCCAGCTAAAGTGGCTCCAAAGTGTGGTGCCAGGACTTACCTTATCCCTAGTGCATAGGGCAAGGGCTGGCGCACATGGACTGTCGCAGACACTCAACAGATACTGTTGAGTGAATATATTGGTTTTTCTTCTGTCTGCATTGATCGTAGGGAAGACGATCGGAGGGCTGTGCACACTTTTTTTGCACAGCCCTAGTGTGGAGAGGTTTTATGGCCATGGGGCATGTTGGGTATGGGGGTGTAAAGTGGGTTCCCCCAAATTCATAATCTACCCCTTTCCATCAATCATGCTCATCTCTTTTCTGTTTTATATACTAACACTTGCCAAGTAAAATGCTAGTTGTTTACCTTTTAAACTACTCTGTGAAATAGGTATTATTTTTACCCCCTTTTTATTTGTATTTATTTATTTATTAAATATATTTTTATTGATTTCAGGGGGAGAGAGAGAGAGAGAGAGAGAGTAACCTCAATGCTGAGAGAGAGTCGAGTCACTGATCGGCTGCCTCCTGCACGCCCCCTCCTGGGGATCGAGCCCGCAACCCGGGCTTGTGTCCTGAGCGGGAATCGAACTGTGATCTCCTGGATCCTAGGCCGATGCTCAACTGCTGAACCACGCCGGCCGGGCTTTACCCCCTTTTTACAGATGAGGACTCTGAGCTCCTGAGGTTAAGTAATTTGCCCAAGGCTCTAGAATTAAGAGGCGGAGCCTTCTCCTAAGGCGTTGTTTTGGGTTAAGTGTTCAGTGGCTAACCGAACTTTGGAAAATCACTGGCAAGGTGGAAAGGGCCTAGACCTGGTGGTCAGACACACCTGGGTGTAAATCTTAAGTTCCTTAAACATCAGCTGCTTGCTGTTCAAAGTATGGTCCCTCAGCTAAGCTCTGCCATTACCTGGGGGCATCCTTATTAGAAACGCAGAACTTCAGGCCCCCCCTTTCTAAATCAAAACCTGCATTTTCTCCAGATCTGCAGGTGGTTCCATTGTCAGAGCGACCGTCTCAGGTTTTTCGTTGTCTTTCTCACTTTGATTCCTTTTGCAAAGCCGTCTGATGATGGAGCGTGAACCTTGCTGTGAATAGGATATGCCGTGGGTGCATCGCGGTACCCACGTGGACAGTAGCTTGTAAAATACCGCAAAGTGTGGCAAAGCTTAAGGTTAACTTTTCAACTTTAAGACTCCTAGAAACGACCATTTATCGAGTAGCCCAGTAGTTGAGATACCTCATTTTTCCATCGTAACAACTTGAGATACGGTTGCCCCCATCTCAGAGATGATCTGAGCCTCAGACAGGTAAATAACTCACTGGGCCCAGTTAACCCCACTAGTAAATGCCAGGCCTGGTTTTGTCCGATTCCAAGGCCTGTGCTCTCAACCCCCCACTCTCTCCGAAATTACAAAACTAATGCCCTGGCCTGGGGCACTGGAATGGTCCTTTTTATGGAGATCTCACTCTCCCAAGTCTGATGTCCATGCGATTTTCCTTTCAGACTACATCAGGAGAAGATGTTCGTGACTTTGCCAAGGTACTAAAAAACAAATTTCGAACCAAAAGGTATTTTGCGAAGCATCCCCGAATGGGCTACCTGCCAGTGCAGACTGTCTTAGAGGGGGACAACATGGAAACGTGAGTAGTGGCAAAAGCAAAGCAGACTCTCCTTTGATGTATATGCGAGCTTTCAGCTGAATACCTTCCTTCACTCCCAAATGCAAACAGTCTCTCCTATTTCTTTCTCTAGACTCCGTTTAGCTGAAAGAGCAAAACAGGCTGATGTTCGGTTGCCACTTCCCGTGTGTCGATTGTCCCATGACAATGACCTTTTCCAAAAGTTAAACTTTACCTCACAGGGAAAAACACCACGTTACAACTGCTGATTCACCCCTGCAAGGCTTTTAAGAAATACGGGACTGTTTACAAACGAGTGATTCCAATATTTCATCCTGATTTTGCTCCCTCGCGAATCAGTAGACGTGTGTGTCTCTTTGGATCTGATTGTGTGGTCATACCTAGTCACTTTTTTCTATTTGAGAGAAAGGATAGTCTCAGGAAATTCCTTCACAGTAAGTAGTAACGATTCTCACGATCAGACTGAGGCCGTCTTCAGCTCTTTTCACACCTTTTTTCCATAACTCTGGTGGCGATCGCCCCACCGTTGGCTTGCTTTCCTTTGAACTCACTTTCCACTTTTGTTTGGCTGCTGCTTTCCATGGTTTATCCTTAATTGGTTGGGTTTTATTTCTTTTGACCGTCCAGTAATTTTTTTTTCGGTTGAGTCTGCCCGTGTGTCTTCACCACCTCACCTTTTGTTTTGCAGTCCTGTTACTCTGATCAACTTCTGGCCGGTAGATTCTGCGTGAGTACATCTGCCGAAGGGCGCTGCTCCCCGCCCACACATTCGCTTGCTGATTTTTTCCGATTTTCTGTTTGGTTTCTTTGTTTTGTTTTAAAGACATAATTGACTTCCCTTCTTCCATTTCAGTTTTTTCTTCCCTTGATTAAAAAAACAAAAAACTTTCGAGAGGGCCATCTCCCGCAGATCAGGAGAATCAGAGTGAGGTTTTTCAGGTCCCCACCTGGTCCCATTCGAACCAGCAGAAATCCTGGCCTGGAGTCCAGAAGGCCATCAAAGAAATTACGGGGTGGTTAGTTGTATCCCTGGGAGACATGTTTATATGTTTTTCAGTTATCAGCAGGGAAGCGCCTTCTGATTACATAATAACAGTCTTTAGCCACATTTCTTGAGATGCAGTGCTTTAGGGCCTTCAAAGGGATGATGGCTTTTTCTTTAGGGCCTGTTATAAGTGGACCATTAAATATCAGCAGAATTTGTTTGATAATAGGATGTTGAGTTGGGCTGAGTAATTTCAGTAAGGTGTGTGGACTTTTTATCAGGTAATGCCATGCTAACTGACTAATATCTATACACGTGAGCTCATTTTTTTAACTAAACTCACTTTGCTCTCTTCTCCAAACTAAGCAGGAAAGTGTACTGCAGTCTTTGTTATCACTATTGGCGTGTATTAATAATACTAATATTAGATACCAACAGATAATTGATTTATCTCAGAGTATATAATGGTAGAAAATTCATTTCAGGGGTCTGTGATTTATGTATTAGCCAACAGAGTGTGCATGTTTTAAAGTCATTGTGTGGGGTTTTTAGTATTTCAAAGTATACTGTATTAAAATATGTATTTGAAGTCAGACAGCTCTATTATATATAAGGAGTAAATGACCAATTTGGAATACAGGCTGATGTAAGAATTCAATTTATTTTATTGGGTCTTTTTTATTGTTCCACCATGTAATTTAATTTAAAGTAGATCCTTTTTTTAAAATCCTGTAGTGATAAATGCAAACAATTAATTGAGGTTTATTTTAAGTCTTTATTGGCCTAAAGGAAGTGTAAGGCATCTTTTTTTAAGCTGCATTATTATGCCCCTTAATTCTGAGATATGGGAGCTGTAAGTAGCAAACTACCTGATTTCTTTAATGATCATGCTTAAACAACTTTTGGGGACTTATTTAGATTCAATTATGTTCCTTGTTATTGGTAATTGTTTCCTGTCACCCAGGTAGTCTGCTTATTTATACACGTTAGACCCTTTCGTAAATAAGACGCTTTTGGAAAATTGATATACAGAAATTCTCAGCTTGATTGGATCCTGATAAACAAATGAATTTACTCTGGGCTGGGATAAGTTTTAACCAATTTTTAAAAATCTAAAAGACCAATAGGCCTAAAGAATAATTTTTAAAAATACATAGATAGAGATAGCACCAAATAATAAGCAAAGAATAAGTCACAGTTCCTTGGAAGGAAAGAAGAAGAGATGTTTCTTTAATACACACACGCATGAGAAAACGTGCCAGTGAGTTGCATGTAACTGATTTTAACTACAGGGCGCTTTACACTTTGAAAACTTTAAAATTAATCACATCCTTGGTTCCAATATCTTCTCTAACAACTAAAACATACCCCCATTTTTGTCTTCTTCTAAAAGTTTACCAGATGATTCAGAAATAGTGGGAAGTTCTAATTTTGAAGAAGAAAACAAACCCAGCAGACTAAAGTCCCTGTTTTCTTTAATACCAGTCATTTTATTAAAGTCCTTACTCATAGGATTATATAATTTATAAAATAGACTGTAAGGCTATTCTCCTCAGGCAGAAGGGCCAGGTCCTAAGATGTTCTGCTTGGCAAGGATTCTATCTGATGTTACCAAATCCTACGATGGAAGTTTACTGAGATACAGATCCTTTCTTTTCCCTTCGACAAAACCTTAATTTACCTGTATCTGTCATATTATTTGGAACCAAATCTAGTTTCATTTGCCCGCCAATGAGACAGCCAAACAATATTCTTTGAGCTCTCCTCCTCTGAAACCCAAATGGATGAAAACCTAGTGGAGTTTTCACAAAAGAGAGAATGGCAGTGGGTGGACTGGAATTGGCCCTTGACCATAAAGGAAACAGACCTTCTGGGTACCCTGTTTTGTATTTAGGAAGTGGGAAGGGAGAACCTTCTTACCTTCCCTTCGAAAAGTGTTTTAGAAGGCCTTGCATGTATAGCTCTGCTTCTGGACTAAGTGGTTTTGTACTTTTACTAACTCTTGGTTTTTAAGTGAACCTTCTCTGACCAGTACTCCCTTTTGGCTCATTTTCTGACTTAATAAGTACCTCCTTTAGTGTATATATTTTTTTAGATTTCTGGTTATTATGAGTTCTTGTGCTTATGCATGCTGTGCTAGGTGCTGTGTGCATTAATAAGAAAAATAACATGGAATTATCCTCAAGGCTAAGAATTAAAGCTCTGCATAAGATTTTCTGTATGAGATTTTATTAAAGTGTTTTGGATTTACATGCCTAGTTTGCTTGGCGTAGCTCTGCTTCAAGGTCTCAGGTTTTGCTTCTATACACTACCAGGGTAGCAGCTATTATAAGGGAAAACATTAAATATTTTTATGATGGTGGGCTTTTAGCTTATAAGAAGTATATAATTGAAAGACTGGTGTGTTCCAGAAGATAGGGCTTATAGGCCAAATAATACAAGTACTAAATTATCTTTACGTGCAGTGAATATTTCACAACAAACCTTAGCATTTTTCTAATAATGGGCTGCTCCAAGGTTCTAAGAAATTACCAGATTAACTCTCCAAATCTCCATAATTGACTCCACATTTGGCTATGGTGACTCTTGACCTAGACAACATTGATTTCTTAAATAAGACATGTATCCATCAGGGAGGACTTCAGTTCCCCAGTGATTTGCTGTAGTATGTTGTAATCATTTTATGATTGTGTGTCTTCTTTAAGAAATATGGATTTCTAGCACATTTCCTAGGTAAGCCTAGATAACTACACGGTTTTCTTTTTTTATGTAAGAGAAAACATCTTCTTAGTGTTTCTTCCAAGTCCTTGAATGCTACTTGGACGTTGGACTAAACCAGTCCTCACTGAATAGATTACTGCTGACTTTTGGATTCATGCCTTTACCTGAGGGCTTTCTGTGTTAGGCGAGAAATGGAAAAGGCCTTTTGTAGTATTCCAGTTAAAACAAAGCACGAGCCCAAACTGGTTTTCAAAGCAGATGGATCTTTTTCCTAAGGTTAATCCAAAGATACTATAACAACTTCAAGGATAATTAATAGATTAGATGTGAAAGAGTAGAAAAAATGTTAACCCCACCGAAATTCTACCCCATGGACCTCCCAGAAAGGTGGCTATACCCAAAAAGTTATATACACTATCCATGCTAATTAATCCCGCCTCTTGTTTTCCTCTCCGCATATTAGCACAGTGTCCCTATAAGAAATATTTCAGATAGTGTGATATTCTATGGAATTTAGTCATTCTTTCTAAAAAAAAAAAAATTACAATATAATTTGGGGTCCCTCAGTTTTCTTCTGTGAAGTAGTAATATATATACCTGCTGCTAAATGGGTAGATGTATTCCTTCTTTCCAAAATTGCACAGACCAGGACATCTTAATATGTGGAATCTTATGTCATTGCCTGGAGTGGCCTCTTTAGAACTAAAATTGTTGACTGTGAACCTACTAATAGGCAAACGTACAGTTTTTCATTCAGTGACAAGGGATCTAGGAAATGGCACAGGTTTGTAAACTGCTGAAGATTTTCAACCACACAGTGCTAAAAACAATTCCAGAACTATAGGATGCGAGATGTTACAAGCTAGAAGGACAAGACGCCACGCGGAGATTGTCTCCCTCAACCTTTTCTAGAACTGAAACTTTCCACAGAAGTTTCTGATCTCTCTGTATGGCTTTTGATAAAAGCAGATGTATGACAAATCCTCTCTGCAACCGGGATTTAAAATACTGGATGATATGTAAGATACAGGAGCAACTAAATGTGTACATTACCCGTAGAATTAGAATAAAAGCGTTCTAGGCCATAGATATATAACATAACTGTGTGGTGGGGGGTTTTCTCCATTATAGGATGGTATCTGACTAATCCCATTTTCTGCCTTATAGGCCTGCCTCGTCCCCTCAGCTTTCACACGATGATACTCATTCACGCATTGAACATTATGCTAGCAGGTATGAGACTAGTTGAATGCCAGGCCAATATTGATTAAAGTAACTAACCAAGGAAGCTAACCTATAAGAATTTGAAACGAGTCTTTTCTTTTTTCCCCCCTAAACTTGTCTGATTTCTACTAATCAGCTTGCCCTCTAACGTGCATGCCATTCCATTGCATGTTGGTTTTGGACACTGAAAAGAGCATTAGTCCAGAGCAATCTCCCCGAACCCTGGCCTTTCAACATTTCTGATAGTTTCGTTATGTTTTATGTACTGAGCACGTGCAATAAATTGGCTTAGAAACCGTAGAACCTTTTGAGAAAACTGCTAGACCAGACATCAATATGGGAAGAAATGATACTATGTTATGTGGAGAATGGGAAAGCACTGGCTTTCCGTGTGTGTTTATTTTACATAGTAGACTGTAAAGAAGAGAATTGATTTTCCTACTCCCCGGACTTTTCTGTCTCACCTTCTTTGTGTTTGGGATCATTTTTATACCTAAAAACTGAATTGCTAACTGTAAGCTATCCTATGCTTGTTAAACAAATCTGTAAGTTTGGCTAACTTTTTTTTTTTTTAAGTTGTAAAAAGACTTTATTATCATCTGAGCTGAAGGAGGCTTTTTAAAGGTAAAAACTGGTAGCAGAATGTGCAGAGCACTTACTGTGAATCCAGCCTTTATCAATATTCTCACTGCTGAACTTGTCTGTCATCAGTGGAGAGCTTTAATGATCTTAAAACACAAGGGGTAGTGTAAGGCACAGAGTGTACTTGCTGTTAGGGAAGCTTTTCTTGTTGAAAACAAAGGCCTGCTCTCAGTGAAAGGAAGATCGATCTGTGGACAAGAAAAGAAAAACAGCAAAATACAACTTCCCTTATAATTTATAGCATAAACGTAAAGCTGCTAGCTAGCTGTGGCCTACCACTCGCTGCCTCAAATGCTTAGGCGCCAACACACACACCCTTTAACCTGAAGGCTTCCTTTCTCCTCTTGACATGATTTATCCTTTAGTTTTCAGGAATGTTCGATTAGGTCTTGAATAGATTCTAAGAAATCACATAAGTTTTAATGAGCTTTTACGTTTTTTATCAGGCTAGCAGAAATGGAAAACAGCAATGGATCTTATCTAAATGATAGCATCTCTCCTAATGAGAGCATGTAAGTATCCCGTCTCTTTTTACCAAATGTTCCTGAAGATGAAATTGCTTTGAGGGATTTAGAGGTAGGGTAGCTGAGAAGATAGGAAATTCGCACTATGTACATTTGCTCTGCCAAGGAGCCATTCGTTTACTTTCTTTGCCTTAGCTCGCAGCCTGATGCGTTACGAGCTCATGCAAACTGTGGCATTATTGGTATTCCTGAGTAGCAAAAACAGTTTCCCTTATTGTCACTTACCACCACATGACCACAAATTGCAGCGTCCCAAATGCTTAAATTATATCTTTGACCAGACCTGCCCAATACCTAAAGCAATTGCATAGCAGTTTCCAAGGTGATAGCTAGGTGGGATTTTCTGCACTCACGGGGGAGTGGAGGCATCATCTTGCCGAGTTGTATTGACATCCCCACATGGTAGGTTAGTTGCATGTTTTCCTTCTGAGATCCGAAGCAGGAGATTCTGTGATTTAGCCTCTTCACGGGCTCGAGGAAGTGAAGCGATCTTGGAAAGGGTTTTAGAGGAGGGGGCACAAGTTCAGGTCACAGGCCTGTCAGACTTAAGGAAAGAGAGGGAGTGACGTTGGAAGTGGCAGGGAGCAGAGCTCTGGCAGGGAAACAGAGGCTTCGGTGTAGGGTTGGGGAAGGATTCAGAGTGAGGAGCCCACAGGGTATCCCCATGAACCAAGGGCCTGCGGTGGTGGGAGCAGGTGAAGGGAAAAAAAATAAAGCTCTGCTAACTGAAGAGATCATTTAGAGGAAAGAAATCTGGTCAAAATGCAACGGTGTTCTTAGTTTGAGAACTTAGGGATGTCTCACCACTTTGTCATGGAAAATCTAGGCAGAGGAATGAGTGGTAAATTTATCATATGTAGTCGATATCGCAACCCAGAGTTAGACTCAGATGAGAAAAGGCAGAGGGAAATAGTATCAAAGCGGCATTTACACATGCTGGTTATTGAAGACATGGAAATAAACCATCTCATCTGATCCATAAAGACGATTAAGGTAATACTAGAGTCAAGTCAACACTCAAGCAATCATATAGGACTTAGTTACTTACCACAAAACAACACAGCCTTTTCCCCAAACATAACTGCGGTGCATTCTCTCTCTTAGCTGTCGGGGAGAGTATTAATACTATTAATATGTAATGTACTTTGACAGGAAAATATATGACCAAGGAATCAACCAAATGTAAACAACCTGAGTGAGTTGCTTCTCCTGGTCACTGATTTTAGTATTAGAAGCTCTAGCACATTCAAACTAATTCAAGTTGTATCTGTATAATAATGGCTGCCACCCACTGACTGCATGAGAGAACAGTAAGAGAAGTTTAATTATAACTATTTGTTGTAATTAAACATGGGAAGGTCTAGCAATAAAATTGCAGAATTTGAGAAGAGAGATAATGAATTAGGTGGTAAAACTGCTTTAGTTTTATTTTTAAACAAAAAGCTTTAGCTCATTCTGAGGACATAAAATCCATTTTGACTCACTTTTGGATGGTAAAATCATGGTATTTTAGGGGCAGATCTGGGGAAGTGGTGTGGAAGATTGGTTGACTTCCCTTAAGTGTTTGTTTTTAACACCCAATGACTATTTTTAGTCAGCGTTTCACTTCTCAACGAATTACCTGGCTTGATGGACCAAAATCTTTTTTAAAATGTTTTTATTGATTTCAGAGGGGCGGGGGACAGAGAGAGAGAAACATCAATGATGAGAGTCATTGATCGGCTGCCTCCCGCACGCCCCCTGCTGGGGATCAAGCCCGCAACCCGGGCCTGTGCCCTGACCGGGAATCGAACCTCGATCTCCTGGATCCTAGATCGATGCTCAACCACTGAGCCATGCTGGCCGGGCTAGTCTAAAATCATTTAAATCAGGAGGATTTTTTTCCAATTTTGAAGATATGGCTATGAGAAAAGGAAATTAAGTGGATGTGGAGAGGGGACTATAAACCTATCATCTTAATGGTATTTAGCCAGACATATTTTGGGAAGCAGCCGCAATCTTTCCTTGAAACTGGGAACTCTACTACACAGGAAAAATTATTTTCTAAATGCATTGCTCCTAGCAAGCCTGTGTACCCCCAAGTTATAAGAACCTCACTCTGTTCTTAATGAGAGGCTAAAGCTCTAAGCCTTTTGCCTCTTTGTTCCCTAAGATTAGCTGCTCTACAGAATGAGTTGTTCAGTTTTCTTTTAATCACCTTAATGGCTTTTTTCTTCCAGTTTTTGGGTTTTTTTTTACGTAAATAATAATTGAATGAAGCAATCATTTGTCTGCAGTTTCATTATTGTTACCATCCTGGCTCTGCAGCTTTTATAAGTTCAAACTAGCTTACCAAAGCAACACTTTTGGCTACATTGCCTTCCATTTAACACAATATTTACTCTTATTATTTTAAGAGCAGCAGTTTTTTCCCGGTCAGTATCAACAATAGTGTGGGTTAATGAACAGATTATCTTGACATGCTTGGTAAAAGCATTATACAGCCATTATTATGTCTTCTGATATTTATTAACTATTGGTTAAATTCTCAGCATAGGGTTCCAGTATTTCTATAATTCTGCCATTAATTTACCCATGTAAATAGGCCAATCAAATTTAATTGAAAAGTAGAAAAAAGAAAATTACAATAAGAAACACTCGAATTGTCACCCATAGGATGGTAGACCACAACCTGAGCAGCATCAAGATGTCTTTAGAAGCAGGAAAAGGGGTCTAATTAATTGTTAAGAGCAAATAAATGTTTCTATTTTTAAATACACACCCGAGTCCCTGATCCCCAACACAAAGTAAGGGGGGAAAAAACCAAAACCTTTGATTTTATTTTCCAGAGATGATGAACATTTGTTAATCCAGCATTACTGCCAAAGTTTGAACCAGGACTCCCCCCTGAGCCAGCCTCGTAGTCCTGCCCAGATCTTGATTTCCTTAGAGAGTGAGGAAAGAGGGGAGCTAGAGAGAATCCTAGCAGATCTTGAGGAAGAAAACAGGTGAGTTTTCTTTCTAGCTTTGTCATTGGTATGCAGAGTGCATACGCTTGCACACATAGAAAAGTGCCAGGAATCTTCACTTAGAGTCGTTCTATGTCTAATTGTTTTCTCCAATAATCTGTTTATTTATTTATCTTTATTATTTTTTTAAATATATCTTTATTGATTTCAGAGAGAGGAAGGGAGAGAGAGAGGGAAACATCAATGATGAGAGTCATTGATCGGCTGCCTCCCGCACGCCCCCTGCTGGGGATCGAGCCCGCAACCCGGGCATGTGCCCTGACCGGGAATCGAACCGCGATCTCCTGGATCCTAGGCCGATGTTCAACCACTGAGCCATGCTGGCTGGGCTCCAATAATCTGTTTAGGTCTTTGTACAGATTCTCTCTTTTTTTTTTTTTATCTGAAAGAAGAAAATGAATGCAATAGTATAATTAAGAGCTCATATTTTAAGTGGGAAAGGAATTCACGCTGATGGTGGTATTTGATTTGTTGCATGCATTTCAGAGGCTTCAATTTTCTATTTGAGAACAGAATTGAAGAACAAAGCAGGTCATTTAATTTTATGATTATACTATTTGTACATGTGTTTGGCCATATTCTCTCTCTCAAAGCATTTAAGTAAGTAGGTTCACTGGCTTGGTCACACTTGGGAACAAATTAGTTCATCTTATTTCTCGTCATCAAACGCAGACACCATTTATGCTCAACATCGTAGCACATTAGTGAGATGATTCCAGTTGTCTGCCACCACCTGAAAAAGATGTCCACGTAAAAATAGTGTAAATTTTAGAAGTCAAAAGCTAAAGAAAATTCACAGTGACTACAGAGACGACAAAGATGCCAGAATCTGGAATATTGAGTGGTGTCAGGATAATGCAAACCATGGTACTTTGACTTTTGTGTTACACTTATTATATCACGGTCCCTTGGTTATGAAAGGCTTTTGCCCATGATCAATTCTAATTCAGCGCACAGTCTTTAGGCAGATGCCACCAGGCAAGTCTTTAAAGGAGCAGTTGCTCAAATCTGTGGGACTGGAGTACTTTCATCTCCTTGGTTTAGCCCAGGGCACCAAGACTTCTTAATCCAGGAACACCGTGCATCTGAGAGCCAGAGCCCCCAGGGAGTATGTCCCCTCAAGATGAAAGGGCAAACTGCCATTCATCCGGTGCTCTCTGCTGCCACTTCCGTTTCCAGCTCTGAACTACCCTTGACCTATGGCCAGAGCCCCTTGACCTGGTCGGCTTCCCTTTAGTGTCTTCCCCGCCCCTCCATACTAACTCTAGCTGTACATCTTTCCAGAACCAAGACCCCTGATGGCATTCTTCCGTCATTGGGTTTCTGCAACTAGAAAGTAACCCAGCTTCTCAGCTGGGCCTTCTGAACCTCACGGTTTTCTCTTGACCTGCTGTTACAACTCCGTCTTCTTTGGCACCCGTGTTCTAGCCACGCTGCCGTGCCTCCTGTTCCTAAATGCGCCCTGCTCTCATCCACTCTCTGGGTCAGGCTCAAGCGTACCCCTCAGCTTAGCTGCCGACCCCATTCTTTCACTGCCATATCCGACAGAGGGGCCCTACCCATCCTTGGTGACCTTCCTGAGAACGGTTTCCTCGCAGAGCCCTTTTAGACCCTTGCAGTGGGAAGTGCTCTAACTTTTGTCTAGACTCCGAACATGTTGGACCTTTGTCATAGAAAGAACTCCCTGACGGTTTGCCTTTTTATCAGTTATTCCCAATGCTTCCCTCTGACGTGATGGCGAGTGCCTTTGGGGCAAGGACTGTGTGCGTCTTAATCTTCTTCCTGTCCCCTATAGTACCTGGCACAGTGTGAATATTTAGTGCATATTTAGGCAATATTTGGTAAAAATCTAAGTTAAGAGTACTGCAAGGCTGTCACACAAGTACCAGGAGGTAATACTGAACATTTCGGTGGTTTTAGTGGTGACATTATTTTTGGCCTCATTTGCAAGGCTGGTAATTAAAACATTTCCCTCTGCTTTATTGAGGATCATCATTACTACCCATTTATGTTAAATCTGTAATTATTTTAGGGAAGTCAAAGTCAAATAGGGGGAGAAAAGGTGGGATTGGCATTATAAATAGAATTGGATGTTATCCAGGAGTAAAAATATTTTTGAACTATAGTGTTGCGTGATGTATCTCTGTATCTCATTGGTCAGGAGGTCTGTCTTGTTTGCTGTTAGCATACTTTCCTTCCACACCATGACAGCCAGGCCAAAGAGCGTTGGTAGAGAATGATAATTATCATTTGTGTATCATTTCATCATACTCAGAGCACTTTCATGTATTTGGGGCCATTTAATCTTCCTAAAAGCTCTGTAAAGAAGACGGATGGGAAAATGCAGGTTCAGAGAGATTCAAATGGCTTGACCCAGATTTCACAATGAGCCATTCGCAGAACCAAGTTCAAATCCAGATTTTCTCACTCAAAATAGCCAACTCTACCTTGCATAAGAGACTAAAGAAGAGTCATCCTGCGTAAATATTATTTACATACAATTGTGGCATATTCTCTGGAATGTACCTTAATTTAAGGGAATATTTTAAAGGACTAGACATGATTCAACCAGTTCATCGACTTGCGGTACCACTGATACATTTTTCTCTGAAAAATATCCAAGACTAGTCCCCAAGAATGGGATGGCTTATTCTCTGAAAGAAAGAAAAATTATACTAAGGCTGCTTAGAGGTCCAGAATGAAGGAGCTGGTATTGATGCAAGTCTTTCTCTGAGTTCTCTTGGCCTTCAAGTAAAGGTCAGGATGAGTTCCTTCTTTCTCCCTCCACTTTGCCACATTCGCACTTCCTACCAGATCCCGAAGAAATGTCTCTGTAGAGCTCCCCTCCTGAAAATAGCCTGTATTGTTTCCTTTGCTGTCCTCTCCTATTTTCTTCTACTTCTGCTCAAAGAGGTTCAGAGCCGTAGCCTGGCCTTCACGGTCCTTGAAGTCAATGTTGCTTAAGGAGCCTTTAAGTCACCAATTGCTGTCCTTCCTCTGAGCGACCCCGGGAGGTCACTAGATGCCCTCTCTCTGTGCCTGCCAAGCTGGCTGTATTTCCCAAGTCAAATTGGCTACGTAATTGCACAAATGCAAGGATACTTTTAGAGGAAACAGGAAAGGATATTTAAAATTGAGATTGTCCCCTGTGCTTCGGATGTGTGTGTACTACACCTATTGTATTTTGTGTTCCTTTATTCTGTAGCTATGACATCTGGAAATGCCAGTTGGCAGAGGAAAGAGGCTTGGAGATCCCCATTCTTGATTAGATGTGTTCCTGAATTCTGTTAATTACATTATCCGTGACACCTCCTCTCAATCCCCTTGGAAAACAGAGAAGGGCTCATTTTGAGGTGCCTCAGGGGTGTCTTATCTCTGCCTTTAGGATTTCGTTTCTCCAGGTTGTTGCACATACCATTTAGTGAATATTTGTTGAATAAATTAATGGATAAATGAATTGAAATGAAGCTGAATTTATTGGCATTGTAGCACTGGTGCATGTCCTTTGGACTAAAATTGTTTTTAAAACCTAATTTCATGGAGAAAAGCTTTTCAAAAGCTTTTCTTCTGCTTCCTTTTCAAAATACTTCCATTTTCCAGAATTCCTTGATTAGTGTGCCAAGCAGTGCTTTGTCATAAATTTAGAATGTTAAAAATTCATTTCCCAAATTCTGAGCCCTGTGTGTCTCTGCCACTGGCATTCTCTGAGTCTTGGTTTATGCCACAAAAGTAAGGCGAAAGCTCTGAGCAAAGCTACATCTGACTCTGATTTTCTCAATAGCGTCTGTCAGAAATTTGGGGGTCTAGTGCCTTATACAGTCCTTAATGTGTCGCTTCTGCATAATGTATCCCCCTCATACCGCAGATAATTCAGATTCACCTTTGGTCAAGACTGTTTGGATGTTGAGAATTTGGTCCACCGTGTGTCCTTAACATTGCAAACTCAACGTTTGCTTTTTTCCTGCATATATTAAAGCCTGCAATCTCCTGCCTTAAATCTTCAGTGTCCAATTCTGATGTCTTTTTCTCCGCACTGTCTAAATGAACCAAGACTTGCTCTGAAATTCTAGGTATGACCCTAGCAATAAAAAGGTAGCCTTTATGAGAGACGAACATGGATTGTCATTCTGCTGCCTGCATGGAGAATTGATTAGATTGTCCCCAAGTTTAAAAGGAGGGTAACCTGATTCACTGTGAAGTCTAAAGTTAACTAAAGTTGTTAGTAGATGTTCCATGACAACAGGGAATTCTGTGGATTTTTAGTACCTACTCAGTACCTTTCATATGTCTTTTTGTTGGGCGACCAGGTGTTACACAGCCTAAATCTGAGTTTTTTTGTTGCTCCTTTCATTCCTCCAACGATTATGTAGCATTATGAATGTTATAGTCAAAGGAATTTTAAATCGATTACTTATGCCACTGAATTAAACTTGCTGGAAATCATGTTCCTGTTGCTTCACCTTGTCGGTGATGCCATGACTTTGGACCCATGGCTACTAGTGTCCAGTCTTCACAGCTTCAGAATAGCTTTATTCCATGTTCCTTTGTGTACGTCTCCAGTGATGGTGAGAAGCTGGCCAAGAGGAAGGGATGCTGAAGAGGGTCAGGAGTGGCCATTCTAAGCAGAGGAAGGGGCAGGTGAGGAACAGCAGAGAATGTTCGGGAAACTGCAGACAGTTGGGTTACTTTTGTAACAAGGCAACGAAATGGGAGGAGATAAGACTGGACAGGTGGGCAAGGCCAGATCAGGAGGGTGTGGTGCCATGCTGAGGAGTTGGTTCCTCCTCACCTAGCATAGGGAGCCACTCAGGGTATCAGCCAGGAGTTGATGCTGTTACAGTTACACTTACATACATCCCTCAGGCAGCTATGTGGAGGGCGACTTTGAGAAGAACCATACTGACAGAAGGAAATCAAAATGGGAGGTAACATGGAAACCCAGGCAAGAGATGATTAAGGCCTAAAGTAATAGAAATGGG